CACATCAACATTGTGATTTCCTGGTATCTTGTAAATATTAATTGATAATTTATTAGTTCACATTATACAGTACCTGACCAAAAGTTTTGGAACACCCGTTTTGTTAATCATATTTTTAATAGTTTGTGAAAAAAAAATTACATGCTAAAAGGGAAACCATGGGATAACTGTAACGAGTTTTGAGCACATAACAATAAAAATCGCACTCAATATCGTCTACGTTCGAATTTAAATTATACACCAGTTTTAAAAATGATTTAAATATAAGTTTTACGAGGCGTGTTATAAAAAACTAGTGTATTCTGTCTGTAGTCAGTCAAAGTCAAATTGAAGTGATAATAATTTAATACAAAATTCCCGATGTGCATCAATTTATCTCGTGATTATGATTTTAGTATTAGCTTGCTTTTAAATTTTTTGTGTTACAAAACATAATATTAGCGCATGAAAGTTTTCAAAAAAATTTTTTAAAAATACATATAAAAATCTAATAACTTTACTGATTGACTTTCTTTTTTCTTTAAATTTTTGAATACAACAAACAACAATAATTGTCAAAATGCAACGTTCTAAATCTCACACCCCACCAAATAGAACACCATCTGATAATGTTAATCAACGTGTTGGCATTCCCATTAATTCAAACAATGCTAACACTAACACTAACAACAATCCCACACCATCTGTTCCGACTGTTAACAATAATTCAACAATTAACGATAATAGAAATTTACAACAGAAAGGTCTTGAATGGGTGCTTGGACGATCAGTTCGAGTCAAAACTTTATTTGATGAGGAATATGAAGGAGAGATTTATGCTTACGATTTAAGAACTAATTGTGTTGTACTTCATATCCTTTTTTTTTTTTTTTTTTGATAAATATTGGAATCTTGTTGGCTAAATTCTTTTTAAATATAACCTTATTAAATCAATCAATTAATTAATTAATTATTCTTTAACTCTTTATTTAATTATTCAAAATCCCATGATTTAAAAAATAATTTTAATGAAAAATTACAAAATTCAAGTTCACCAAATCAATTTAATTCAACAACTGCTTCCAACAACGTCAATAACAACCCCAATACTGCTTCCTTCAATAGTATTTCACCAAAATTTGATTTCAGAATTTTGAAAATAAGTTTCCTTAAAGATGTTGTTCAAATTCCAAATCGTAGATCATCAATTGACATTTCTACTAATAATGATGGTAGC